CATTATTTTCGCTGTAAGTGTAGCTTCTGATTTGCTACAATTAATTTCATTTAAATATTTAAAAACATACTCAAACATGTATCATAAATATGACAAGCAAACAGCTGTGCGCCAAAGGTGAGTGTGGGTGAAAAGAAGAAAAAACATTCGGTACACACACACACACATGCCCACAAAACACAGGCACTTACCAGCATTTTTATGTGTGGTTGAGCACGAATTTGGCGCAAAACGCATTTTATACCCACATGAATACACATACATACACACATATTTATATATTTTGTGTAATTTTGTGACAACAAAATGTGTATCAACAAAAATCGTATATTTATCCTTGCTTTCGGCACTGTCAAAGCGAAGATGCGGCGGCGACGACGGGTTTATCGTCTTTCTTTGTACAATATTTATATTTTGCTTTTTGGCAAAAGTGCAAAGCGTCAGAATATTTGTGCCGTAAATATTACCAATCTGTTTATATTTGAAAATGTAGAATGTGCTGTACACACGAATATGCATACATTGAATTTAAAAATAAATTCGCTGTCTAATAAGCCAAAATGATTTTGCGTTGTTTGCAGCAAAAAATCGTATGCGAAGCAAAGTGGCAAACAACCAAAAATAAAATGTGAATGAATATTAAATTTATGCGCTTGGCTAAAGGCGTTTTAACTTAATAATTACCCCTTTATGTGGGATATTTTTTTTTTTTTTTTTCAGAACAAAAAACAAGAAAAGAAAGCACTCAAGTAAATGACCTGCGGCAGATACTTTCACAGCCATACACTTCAAGGCCGTTGATATGTCTGATGTTTGTTATTTACAGTTATTATGTTAACATATAATAACGTTTAACTGCCTTTTTCTTTTGTTTTATCCATCCATATTGAAAGAGATAGGCTACTATCTATGAAATATCTATCGGCGCGGCCACAAAATAATTCAATTTTCGACACCTTTTGGCTTTTGGGCTATTTTTTTTTTTTTTTTTTTTTGTGCGTTTGCGTCATTCTTCGCATTGGACGCCTCCATTAGCACCTCGCAATTGTCGTTGTTGGGTAAGCACCAGCTAGCCATTCAGTCAAGGGTTAATTGCATAATTCAGCGTAAACGAGACGCTATCAAAGGCCTATTTATCGCTTTAGGACACACTTCGCTGCAAGGCTCTCGCATTATTTGACTCAGCAAAGGTCATTCCAATTCATTTGTTTTCCAAATAAATGGTCGCGTTTGGGGGAAAACGTACCGCGAAACAAAGAAATGGCTACTAGGACAATGGGAGCTTTATTTTTTGTAAAAACAAAAAAATTTTGACCGACAGGTAAGAAGACAAGTAAGAAAAGTAGAGACACCCTCGTAGGGGGAATCGTCTTCCCGATACAGCACCGCAATCAAGAAGTAAGTACATAGAAGGCATGAATCTTTAGACTTTATCCTAGAGTTCGTTTTTTCCTATCAAAGTAAAAAAAAAATCATATAGGTTAGGGCTAGACGATCCTTCATCAACTATTTCAACTGGGTGAGGTAACTCGCACCATACATATGTACGTTAGGTTAGCTTGGGCAGCACTCCTCTGTGGCATTCACAGAGTAGTTAATTTCAGTGTATTTATAGAAGTTGAATCCCATTCTATGTCTCTTTCGTTATGGCCAAATATTGTGACTTCGTAAATTCAAAATACTATCCGATCGAATATGCAATATATCGATCAGTGCTGGTGCGCCAGTCTCTAGCTGCTAAGCTTTAAGCTTTAGATGCCTTAGGTGCCACATTTCCCACTGGCACTACGTAGCAGCTCCTTTTGGGTACCATAAGCAATTCAAAACAAAAACATGAAATAAAAATAAAAAAAAGACATTTATTAAATGGCACAACAGCGCTGAGTTTGAGGTTGTCAAAAATTCTGCTCATATACGTTTTCGCTGTTGACCAACAGCGCCAACATACAGGACAAAGCTCAAGTGGCTAAAATGCCACAGCGCTTGCCACAGAAGAGGTGAGTTTCTGGAGGGGGGCGGGGGGCAACATCAGCAGTGGAATGTAATGTAATAATGTTTATTGTTATGAGCCGCTTTATATGCGATGCTACCAGCGGCCAACCAGGACATAAAACGCACAAAAGATGTAAGGACAACAAGAATAACCACAACAACAACAACAGCAGAAAGCAGGGTTGAAAGAAAAAAACTTGAGCCGTTGTAAAACTTACTACGTGAACAAAAACAAACCAACAACAACAGTAACAAGCTACTAAGATGAAAAGTTTTCTAAGAGCTTGTGTAACTCAATGTGAACTTTAGAGTATGGGAAGGGGAAGAGGAAGGGGAAGGGGAAGGGGAAGAATGGATGTGCTGCTTTTCGGATCTATTTAAGTGCCTCATTTATATACAAAAGACGCCCGGAGATATTTTAAAAAAATATATCAAATAAAATAAAATTCTAGTTTCATCCGCATGGATAAAGTTGCAATTGTGAAAGTATCTGACGCACATACACGCACGCCTTAAACACATACACACACACGGGATATCCAGAAAATAAAGCAAAACGAAAATCAAATGTAAACTGGCGGTTAATTCAATTTCTACAAAAGGCTGGCAAGCATTCTGTGCATTTGTTGAATTAAAAATGCATGCAAACACCCTGTACGTCTTACACTAGGTTTACACATAAGTAGATTATCCTTATTTTCGAGCTTAACTCCCTAATCTGTAATTAGAAAAAGAGATTAGCCATACAAACTGCATCCCTCTTTAATCTGTAATTGTAAAAAAATCTCAGTTTCAAACCGATAACTTTTCGGTGGCCAACCTAGTTTTATCGATTGTTTTTGCGAAGAAGAGGAGAAATGCCAAATGTAAAAATATACAAAAATGGACGCTAGCAAGGAAAAGCGGTTTGTAAAGGTATTTTTAATAATACCTTAAGTTAAAATATATTTAAATTGCTTAATATAGCAGAAAAAAGTGATCACGGTGGCACAGAGTAGAAACATAGCTTAATAATCTGAGATTTGCCTGTGTAAACGGGGTGATTAAAAAATACGCAAGACCGTTTGCAAACAAAAAGTTAAAAAATTTAGACGAAAATTTGTTGAATTTTTTTAAAAGTCCTGTATAAAGTCTGATTGTTTGATATATATGGTTTTGATTAAAGCATGACCCATGTTTTTATAAAAAAAAAAAATAACAAAAAAATGTTACCTTGAAAAACATTGAAATATTAAACAAAAAACACCATGCACTCACTTTTGATTGCCAGTGTACATACAGTTGTCCACTATTTTCACTATTTTTCTTTTGTCTTTTTAATGTTTATTATTTTTTTATAAAAGCCTATTTGGTTATAAAACAAACATCATATAAATTAGCAATGCAAACTTTATACAAAAATTATAAAATTCTGCAAATGTTCTCCAATTTTTCAAACTTTTTAATCAAAATATTAAAAAAAAAAATTCGTATGCTGTTTTGTAGCCCATTAGACGAAGTGCAAGTTTCAAGTTGGTAAAAATCCCGTTGATTTTTGAGAACTTTTTTATTTGTAGATGTTTCGCATTTTTTCCATTCAAAGTATGTTCGACAATTTTCTTTTATATGGAAGACATTACCAGCAAAAATGAAATGTAAAAAATCAACGGGATTTTTAACAGTTTGAAACTTGCACTTCATTATGCTACACTACAATTTAATGGACTACAAAACTGAGTACCAAAACTATTGTATTTGCGGAATTTTTATTTTATTTATTTGTGGTCAATCGCTGGGCTACCTGCAGCTCATTCCAATAGTGTCTGCTCTTATTTTTCGGTCACAAAGTTATAAGACAAAAAAGCAAAGAGCTAAAAAACTATTTTTTATGGAACGGTCTAATGTACATTCATGTATGTGGGGCCAAGTATATAAAGTATTATAACTTAATTTTTTTTATTTTCAATCGTTTTTTTTTTTTTGTTGATAAACCATATTTAAACTAAGCTCTCATATTAGTACCTTACAAGAACCTTTTCAGTTTATGAAGTAATTAAAATTAGGTCACCAAAGCTTTAATTTTTTTTGTATGCCTTTCTTCTTAAAACATGAAATAGGGTCATCATTTTTATAAAGAGCATTCACAGATATATGAAAATACCAGCAGATGCATTAAACAAGTCCGTGCTGGATTGGTGAAATACTGAAAACCCTGGTTAATTTCACAAAACTGTCGCAGAACAAATTTGTCCAGTTTAAATTTAAAAAGCAAAAAAACTATTCAAAGTATTCATTTCAACAATAATTTGAAGTAATTTTTTGCACTTACCCAGTGAAGAAATATTTATGCAGTGAATGTACATTGATACATACATACACATACGCAATCGTGTACATACATATGTATTTTGAAATTTTGAATTTATCCCACACACGCCTCAGCAATCTTCTTTCGATGGTAGTTTGTATGTATGTACATATATTTTAGTGTATAAGGTAAGCATACAGTACCCCTTAAATACATTTCTGCATGAGTTCTTGAACGTAAACAAATTCATAAAGTCATGTATGTGACCTCGTGTTTATAATTCTATTGAATTTATTTGTGTGCAATGAGGAAAACTCACAATGTTACAGACTTTTATAATGACCCAGTAGAACTTGGGAGCATCGTACGATTGCTCGGTGAGTACTCCCTTGGGAGTATACGAATACTCCCCATTGCTGCCTATGCTTCTGTGTATAAGCATGTAATTTTGTATACTCCCTTTAACATTGTCCTAGGAGGGGGAGTAATCCCTTTTTTTTACCTCCTAAACGAGCAATCGGGGAGCACACACAGAATTATCATCCCACAAACCTCCTAATGGAGCAATACGGGAGTACTCCCATAGTTACCTCCCAGAAACCTCCCAAAAAGACAACAAGGGAGTGCACATAGAAAACATCCCATATTCCTCCCGAACGAGCAATAAAGGAGCGCTCCCATTAGAGACATCCCGAAAACCTCCTGTAGTAGTAATAAGAGAGCAATGATAACGAATATTTTACATTAGCCAAATGGATTTTGCTATTTATTAAATTTTTTTATTTAACTTTTTAATCACATGCATTTGTGCAATATTACAAGATCTTAAAAATAAAGCATAAATGATACGTCTTACATAATTGCTTAATTTTAGAAATATATTGCAGAGAAATCATATGAAATTAAAACATAATAATAACAAAACGGTAAGATAAGATTTGAATTATATGCACCTATATGCACATATAAGTATGTACTCCTATATGATTTCCTGGGTGTCAAGGATGCTTGCCAGTTCAGGAATCCACCAAGCGGGGAAATTGTGAAGGTGACTTTGCTTATCTGACATCTTTGTCACCCATGCGATGTTTAAACCCGGGGGTCACACTTAAATGCTGACACTAATTTGCGCAATCTGAAAAGTATTTAAGGGTGCATTTACAAGTAATACAATACATTCTTAATATATTTAAACGAAAGTTGAAGTACATACCAACGGACTTTTATTAAAATCTGTGTGCTATCCAAATTAAATTATTGTGTGCTCCTTATGCTTCTATAAGAAATATTTTCTGTTGTTTTTTTTTTTATGATAAATTTTTTCGAAAACACAAATTTCTTTTGGGCGAGGTGCGTATTGCTCTCCTATCAATCAAAAAGAATACTCTTGGATTTATCGCTTAGGAGACATCACTTTTTGCTCCTAAGCGAGTAATAACGGAGTACAAAACCGACAAATCTCTCTTATTGCTCAGAAATCAGGTTAAGGGGAGTACTCTTTTATTCCTCACATAGGGAGATCTCCCTTCAAGTTCTAGTGGGTACAGACAGAGTTTTACAATGAAGACAAAGTGGCAGTATGTATTTGTATACTTGTATTGAAAATAAAATCGTACTAAAGCTTTGATTCGAAATTCTTAAGTACAAGTAGAAGACTAGATAGACCTATAAACTAAAAAACAAGATAGACTCACCAACCAAAATGATAAGGACAATGACCTGAGTCACTTTGATCACATCTTTAGCGATACCGCACTGAAGTTTGGCCTTTTGTTGCTGGCGACAACATCTGCCGTACAATGGATTGTTCAAAAATAAGATTTGGTTTTATGACTCCTGCACTTAAGCTGCTAAAATTGTAGAATTTTTCACTATTTTTATTTAACATGAAAGGAAAGAGTTTACAGGGAAAAATCGCCAAGATCGGTGCATATATATATGTATACATATCCGGGAGCCGAGCAGAGAGTGTCATTAAGATGACGTAGATCCGAATTCACATTTCCGCCTGGCTATGCTCAAAGATCAGCAATGAATGCTGAATATTGGTAGCTTTGTTTATTTATTATTTTATTGATGTTTGCATTTCTGATTAATTCAAAATGAATAGCCGAGAGGCGGTTTATTGCACACAAACATTCATACCGAAAAGTATGTAAAATTTCACACATATATACATACATACATATTTATTTCTTGAAAGACAAATATGCAGACAATAAAATAAAGCCGATTGAATGCATTTCGTATTTATTTTGATGCCAATTAGCGCAGCGGTCAAGCCGCAAGGAGTTTGGGCAAACCAACTTGTTAATGGAAAACGTGCCCACATTTTGTATTCGAAACTGGCAATTGTGTAAATATACAAACTGATTCCATTTAGCATTTTAAGTCATTTTGAAACTATTCAATTTTAGTATTCCTATTAAAATATTCATCTAAATATTTGCACTGCGGCTGCTTCATGGCTATGTAAGTTTGTGTTCATATGTAGATACATATTACATATTTATATTCTATTCACTTTGTCTGAGTCTTCATACTGGTCGCCAACGTCTTATGGCCAGTCAGCTGGCCGTACTTATTCCGCCTGCTTTCCACGCTTTCCACGCTCGTTTACCACTATGCTTCTTAGCACAGTTTCAGGCGCGCAATCGATGGTTATTGCTTTTCATTACAGCCATTATGACCAGAATTATTAATGGCGCATTCATTGCCTTGTTCTGGTGGTTGGGTGCTGATTGCATGCACAACAACAAAGTGTACTAAGCAACCTAAATTCTCGAGTATTGTTTTGATCGCAGCAAAGTCGTTGAAAAGACGCATATTCTATGTGGCTGCTTGGCGAAAGTGAAATTATGGATTTTCATTGTCAAATTTAAGTGGCAAGCATGCAATAATTTGGAAACTTTTTTCTACTTGGTTATTTAAGCGCTTTATTTAGGACATCGTTTTGCAAAGAACCCCCAATGGCACAGAGAAATTTTTCGTGAAACCTTATTCAAATGATATGTATGTATGTATGTACATATGTATGTCGTTTAACGCACTAAATATTGCGAATTTATAAAGCGCAATTTAAATTTAATTTAGTTAACGCAAACTCATTTCACCATTTCGTTTATTTCATTTGTTTACTCCATTTCCATTTTATACAAATTTCGCCGCTCGGTCGTCGTCGTAGCGTATGCTAAATCTTCTGGCTTACACTTATCCCGTCCATTCATTACAACTTTCATGCACTTATGCTAACGATCATCCTGAAAGCATGGAAAAGCACCCTGCAGGGAAACCGCGAACTAGTGAATCAAATTTCTAGCTCCGTACTAGATCTTTATCGCCAAAAACGAACCGGTCCGATAGTAACTAAATCCCCACCAGTCCAAAATGAGCGAAATGTGGTACTTTTAAAAAACTATTTTATTTCACATTTTTCATTCGAAATTAGATCTAAGGTGACGAATTTAGAACTGGTTCGGATCTATAGAAAAGGGGATGCAGCGGGGGCTTGTTTACCTTACATAGATTTGTGTTTGGTGGCTTTTTGGTTCAAATACGCTTCCATTCTGCACTTCGCAGATGCTTTTTCATAGCCTGGTAATACAAAATAAAAATTTATGATAACATTTTAACATCTTGGGGCATTCTTGAATCTAACCAATAAGAGAAAGCATCTCTGCAAACTCAGCTACAGCCAATGGTATGTAAACGTACATTTCTTACAATCATTCAAACAAATTAAATTTCAAATTGAAAACACATTTCTTTGAAAATACTAATTTAAAATCGCACACACGGAAGAACCAAAAAGGTTGAAAAATCATGATACTTTTTTCTTTCGTCTGTCGATTTTAGAACTGGTTCGAAACTATAGAATTTAAGACTAGTTCGGAACTATCGAAAAAGGGAGGCAGCGGGGTGCAAGTGACACTTCCTAGGACATCGCCATGTTAAATTCACTGGCGAATGTTTGCTTGCAAAAGAGATTTATCGCGAACCAGTACTGGGTCTTAATGTGCGCCACTGCAGAACTAGAGATTTTCCCCACAAGGCACCGCAAACGCACTTGACGCCATTGACAGTATTGCGCCTGTATGTATGTATGTATGTGTGATTGGTGCAGCAACGGCTTCGCCAGTTGTCCATGGCCCTCCCATTTGAACTCTCCGACCTTTTTTGCATTGCTGATGATTTGCGGCGATTTTGCATGTATAAAAAATGCTTTCGGTTTGTTGCTCGGTGGCGGTGAGTTGAATTTCATTACTTAAAAATCTATTATTAGCAACCGTCTGTGCAGTCGTCCTGTTACTTACTTATGTAAACCATCAGATATATTACGGTGTCACTGGTAAATTTGAAATGTAGCAGATAGTCCACTTCTTCTTTCTTTTTTTGCGTTTGTGATTTGCATTTGGGAGGTTAACTTTGATTGCTTTGTGTACGAGTCTTCAGATATTCATGTTGTCGCCAATTTGTCTCATTGCTGGTTGCGGGGGAAGTGGTCGTCATTTGTTATTAATGTAAATAAAGTGGTGCCAGTGAACTTTATGGCTTAATAGTCCTATGTTCTTAATGCGGATGGTAGCTACATGAATTTTCCTTGATTTGTTAGAAAAAATAAGCACAGCAAATTTGAAGGCTAATAATAAAAAATGCTATTTTTATAAAAAACCTTCTATATAACAAATGTGGGAAATAAAATTCTCTACATATTTGTCTTTAACCATCTTTTACGAAAAATGCAAAATAAGCTTGCAAATCACAAAAAACCCGAAAAAAATAAAATCCAAGATGGCTGAATATTTCCAAAGGAAATTTAGAGGCGAGGCTGTGGATCCATGATCTACAGTGCCACATAGAAGTAAACTGCATCAAAAAATCGCTGTTACAATTTTTTTATTTTGTGTTCCTACCAAATTTATCTAGTTTTATTGAGCTAATCGCTATCTTTGGCACGTTCTCGGCCGCGTCGTACAAAAAAAATAAAAAATTGGTATAAAAGTTGTGAAGAATGAAATTCTCTACAACGTTGGAATTTCGATATGCTATGTATTTTCAACAGACAATTGTCAAAAATGGCAAAAATCGCGGCAATATAAAATTTTTTCGCAGTTTTTGCTAATTTTTTACAATACAAATTTCTATTTAAAGAAACCTTATATAACAAATTAGGTAATTAAATTATATACATATTTGTATATAACCCTTTTTTACAAAAAAGGCAGAATAAGCTTGCAAATCGCAAAAAAAAAAAAAAACAAAAAAAAACTTAAATCCAAGATGGCGGAATGTTGTCAAATGAAATTTAAGGGCAAAACTGTGAATCCACGATCTACGCGTCAAATAGAAGTAAACTGCATCAAAAAATTGCTTTTACAACTTTTTTTTAAGAAAAAGTCTAATTTTACTGGGCTAGTATATAAAGGATTGATATTGTTTTTTTCACAAAAGTTTGTAATCAAATTATTTGCTAAGCTATAAGTAGGTTTGGGTAGCTTTTGAACTAAAGAGCGAAATAGGCAGCTATTTTAATGGAACTAGTTCATTAATTCGTTCATTAAAGCGAACTAAAGTGAAATGTGGCAACACTCCAATAAAAATGGAAATGGAGGCATATGGGAACACGTTTTTCGTTGTAAAGAAACAGCTGATAGGAATTCACGCTAAAAATACATTTTATTTCATTTAACTTCCAATGCTTTACGTCATTTGGTGTAATTTGTGTTAAAAAGTAATTACTTGAGTTCGAAGGCAAAATAGAAGAAAAGAAAATTAATGAATGATGAAAATGAAATGATGATTCCATAAATGATGAATTTCCATAAAAATCTGTTCGTGATTTTGGAGAAAGGCGAATAAATGAAGACGACTGAATTGTGTCGTTATTGCATCCACATATGTGTTATAAAACATATACATATTTTTATTGTTTTTTAACTCAGCTCCTACCGTGATAAAAACATAGCAAAGTAGAACCGTTCTCTCAATTTGTCGGTCATGATTTTTTTTTTTGAAGTTTGCCAACATTTTAAAATCATATAAAAGTGAAAATAAAAAATTGTAATTGTTCGAAATTGTTGTTGCTTGAGATTGAAAATGAAAATGTGTGTGTGAGTTTGTGAGTAAATTTAAAAATTAAATTGTTTGGAAACGTCAAGAATTTTAAAAGTGACTCTCAGCGGTTCTACCTTACTATATTTTTATCATGGCTCCTACTACCGAAGTAGTTCAATTAGGTGAATGAACTAAGACTCAGAACAGATAGTTCATTGAGCTGAATGAACTAATCTTTAAAGTGGACTAAAAAATACAACTCTACTACACGGTGGGTAGGAAGCAAAGATAGGTTGCATAAAAATGTCGACAAAA